ACTTGCTTGTTGCAGATTGATTCTGCTGCATTGGAGAGCGATCCTACTCCTTCATCATTGATGGAAGTGACCTTTGCCACCTGACAAAGAAGAAAGAAAAAGCAGCAGTTGCGTGGCCCCACAAGTTATAGGGCACTGCCCAGTAACCAGACTGATGCAGGAGTTGAAGAAGATACCAACACAACTCAGAAGTCTGGGCTGAGATAGTGACACATGAACCCAACTGAAGGCATTTTCTTTATAACTAGGCACGCACCAAAACTGTGTCTGAGATACTATACAAAATCTGGGGAGCACGTTAATGACATCTGCATTGTACTTCATAGCCAACCATGAGCCTTTTACCAGGTCTAAAGTTGCTTCACGCCTTGTGCTGAGGGCAGGCTTGGATGAACATCAGCATGAGGAGAGAGAGGCAGCTTCGCCCATAGGCATGGCTATGCCTGTTCTCCTGTCCCACCTCTCCTGACGACTGCACCGTGCAGCTCATGAAGGCAGCTGAGCTGGCATGGCATCTTTCTCAGGTGTGCCCTGGCATCGTGGGCAGCCCAGACTCCCAGGAGGTGGGAAATGCCCAAGCTCAGGCTGGCCTCAAGTGGGGTAAGCATAGGTGCTCATGCTCCGAGAGCCCCGTGGCATTAGGCTGGATGCAGAAAGCGAGGGCTGGGGAAGACACCAGCCTCGACGCCTCAGTAAATAGACTGAAAATAACAGATTCTTGGACCAGAAGCTGAAAGAAAAGTACAGAAATGCTCCTCCTGACAGTCAAAAGCCAAATACTTTTATACGTATGTTTAGCTGGATGTGGAAGAGACTCTGCCTAGCTTGTTGGATTTTCCGGTTGAGGTTGTTATGAATGGAAAGAGCTGTTGGCTGGGTGGCTGGGGAATAGACAACTCAAAACAGCTTGAAGGAAACAAGTAATGATGCATCAAGTACTCCAAGAAGACCAGCCTGGTGGCTCTGCATGTTCTGTGAAGTCTCTGAAACACAGTTGCTCCCAGGGCTGACAAATCCACAGTAAAACTGGAGTTGCTGGCCAACTGGAAAGCGGCCAACTGTTCCACTTCTCTTTTCTTCTGTAAACTCCCCAAATAAGCTGTTTTCCACCTTGCTCTGCCTGCTGTTAACCCAGGCTGTGGCACTTGACAAGTTCTCTGTTTTCTGTCAACAAGATCTCTAGGAATTTCTTTCTGAGTAACATTCAGAGCTTCTTTTTCATCTTGGACTTTTCTGCGAGCCCAGGATTGCAGGTCTGCTCCTCGCTGTCCTGTTCACTAGTGACTTTGGCTTCACCACCTTTTCAGTTCCTTTCTTACAGCAGGATATCCAGAGGGAGGGACTCTTTGCAGGAAGGGTAATGATAGGACAAGGGGAAATGGTTTTAAATTGGAAGAAAAAAGATTCAGATTAGATATCAGAAAGAAATTTTTTACTATGAGGGTGGTGAGACACTGGAACAGGTTGCCCAAGGAAGTTGTGGATGCCCCATCCCTGGAAGTGTTCAAGGCCAGGCTGGATGGGGCTTTGAGCAACCTGGTCTAGTGGGAGGTGTCCCTGCCCAGGGGTTGGAACTACATGATCTTTGAGGTCCCTTCCAACCCAAACCATTCTATGATTCTATGATTCTATGAAATAGCTCCCTAAAGTTAACAGGTAGGGACAGGGAAGGCATCCCATTCCAAATGTAGTGAATGGTTTATACCCACACTACTCACAAAAAGTCTAGGAAGGAATCTATGGTTTAAAGATTTTTTGGTACATGATATAAAAAGTTTTACCAATATTTCTTCAGAGTAATATAAACAGGAAAGCAGCACAAAGCTGCTCTGCCCAGGATGGGCTAATTAGCAAATACAATAGAAATATTAGTCCAGAGCCCTTGAAGGGAAGGGGGGAGGAAACCATCAAATCTACCATGTCTCTGTGTGATGATCCAGCGCTTAATGGTAGGAAATGAGAAGCAAATAAACAGGAAAAAGAGGAAGGAGCTGGCAGGGAAAGTGTGGTAGGGAAAGAGAACAGTTCATCCAGAGCAAGTACTCTGAGAGGCTCTGATATACATCTTTAACAATAGGAGGGGGAAAATAAGTTTGAAGAGGACTCCGTTTCAAGTAAATCTTGGGTCAAATGAGGAATTACCCATTCATCAACTCGTGTGAAATGTGGCAAAAGGAAAACATTATTGCTTAGTGTAATTTTAATGACACATTTTCATTGCTTCATTCTTGTAACTATGCTACTTTATTGCCCAGCAGTGTTTAAAACATGTTCTATTGTTCTTTTTTATATCATTATGTTTTGTCCAGCTACAAAGCAAACTCTGAGTAATCCGAGACAGGAGAGGGCCTCCCAATCCAATTCTTCCAGTGCTTTGCAACCCAATTAGTTTCTTGAAGGTATTCACAGAATGTCAATGTACGTGTCCATTGAGTTGCCTTCCACGATTTAGGACTTCATGGCTTTGGGGCTTCCTCCACTGATTGGCAATAGCCAAGAAAACAATATTATGGGGCGAGTGATCAGAACCGAAGCACGAGTTTGTACTAAGGCAGCTCCTGTTTCACAGGCTACTGGGTTACCTTTGCTTTTTTTTGTTTTTGCATTTCTGCTTTTCTTTTCTTTCTCTGACTCTCACAGGGCTCTTGTGACCATTCTCTCCAGCTCGTTTCACTGCAACTCCCTCTAGTCATCCAGAGGTTGCTACTGTGTCATGGATGTATGACTCAGCAGTGATCTGTCCTTGTGCTCCAACCTGATCAGCCTCAGTGCAGATGATCAGATCAGATAAGATCACCCTGGGGTGGAACCTCAGATTTCCTCTGCAATTGCCAGCTGTGGCTTATTTCACCACCTCTCTGCAGCAACGGGAGAGGCTGCTGTTCTCTAGGTAGCTTGTCTTTTCTGCGCAAGGGCAACGTTAACGATTCTTGTCCCGTTTGCTTCCCACACCCACGCTTACAGTGTCATTTGCTATTCCTTCCACCAGCATGATTAAAAGAAACAGTCTTTCCTCTCTGCCACAATGTCTAATATCGTTATCAAGTCATCTTGTCTCACAATTACTGCAACTTTTATCCTCTCTAACCTCCGCAGCAACCACTTCACTTGCTGATACTTAATCTGAAGGAGGCTTCTAGAACATCCTTCTTTTGTGATCGGCTTCAAGGTTCTAAACGCTTGATTGTGGTCTAAAACCTGGATCTTATATTACAACATAAAAGACGCAGAAATGTTTGAGTGCATGGCACAAAGAAGATGGTGTCTTTGTCGAGCCATTATGCACCAGAGGGATGCCAACATCCGCTGCAGATTGAGTATTTACAGATCAGTAGGTTCAGACTCGGAAGTCTTAACAAAACCTGACTGGAGATCTCCCTTTCTTGATGATTTTTAATGCCATTTAGGGGACTTAAAATCCAGAAGTCTCAAATGGTTTTCATGTCACGCTGGTATTCAAAAGGAGAGGACAGGTAAGATAAGCATCATCCTAGGCGAACTGATGGAGAAGTTGGTACAAAGTTCAGTCATTAAGGGCTGAATGCAGCACATTATATGAGTATCATTAGTGCTAAGTCAACATGGTTTTACAGAAAAGAGCGCTTTCTTTAAAAAGCAAATATCCAATTTCATTTTTGAGGACTTCACAAATCAGATTCATAGCAGTAATCATGTAGATACCATCAACATCCAAGGAGCTTCATGTAGGACTTGAGTTATATTCTGTTTTCAAGGCCTGCCTCCTACAACATGGGTAATTTGTAGGCACAGTGGACTAATAAAGTCCTCAGCCAACCTCCATGGGCAGCCGTGGAGAAGACTGGCTGTGTTGCATGATTTTTGTTGAAGTTCTATGTGTGCCCTTGTTGCCAAGAGGGCCAATGGAATCCTGGGCTGCATAAGAAGTGTGGCCAGTAGGTCGAGGGAGGACATTCTCCCCCTCTACTCTGCACTGGTGAGGCCACAACTGGAATACTGCATCCAGTTCTGGGCTCCCCAGTTCAAGAGAGACAGGGAACTACTGGAGAGAGTCCAACGGAGGGCAACTAAGATGATTAAGGGATTGGAGAACCTCCCTTACGAGGAAAGGCTCAAGGAGCTGGGGCTCTTTAGCCTGGAGAAGAGAAGGCTGAGGAGAGACCTTGTCTACATTTACGGTGGGTTGAAGGATGATAGAGCCGGACTCTTTTCAGTGGTTTCCAGCAATAGCACAAGGGGCAACGGGCTCAAGCTGGCACATGGGAAGTTCCATTCAAATATGAGGAAGAACTTCTTTCCGGTGAGTGGGACAGAGCCCTGGATCAGGCTGCCCAGGGAGGGTGTGGAGTCCTCTTCTCTGGAGATCTTCAAGATCCGCCTGGATGCAGTCCTGAGTGATGTGCTCTGGGCAACCCTGCTTTAGCAGGGGAGTTGGACCAGATGATCTCCAGAGGTCCCTTCCAGCTCTGAGAATTCTGTGATTCCACGTATACTGCTCCTCGGCCTCTCAGCGAGATCACTGATGATCAGGAGGAAAACTATGAACACCTGAAGGCAACCGTGGCACGCCGGCAAAGGGTCCGCGAAGGCCGAGTGTGAAGGCCAGCCAGAGGCCTCCGGGAGGTGAAGTTTCGAGGCTGGAAGGACTGCAAACACAAACCTTCCCGCGGCGGGGCGGGGAAGGGGGTCATTCCCCAGATGATCGGAGGTGGCCACGGGCGGGCAAGCGGCGGGAGAGGCTCCTCAGTGCCTCGGCGGGGAGGACGGGGACAAAGCGTGGCCTTGGCTCCCCTTTTCCCGTCCCGTCCCGGAGGAGGAGCCCCTTCTGCGGGGTCCCCCGGCCGCCATCGCCCCCGTCGCCCCTCACACAGGGGCGGGCAGCGCCGCTTCGGGTACGACACCCAATCCCCCTCACTCCAACGGCCCGCCCGTCGCCCCTAGCAACGGGGCAGCCGGTGAGGGGGCGGCGCGAGGGGGCGGCGCGCGGCGGGCCGTTAACGGGCGGGGCGGGGGATGCTCGTCGGAGCCTCGTCGCCGAGCGGGGCCCGTCCTGCGGCCGCCGGTATGTCGTCCGGGCCGCGCTGCCTGGTGTGCGCTCAGCCCTGCCTCTCGCCGCGGCTGTTGCCCTGCCTGCACTCGCTGTGCGCGCGTTGCCTGCGCCGGCTGGGACCGCTGGGGGAACCGGGCCGGGCCGCCGTTACCGCCGCCGCCTCACGGAGCGTCCTCTGTCCGGTGTGCGACGCTGAGGTGGCCCTACCGCCCGGCGGCGTCGGCCAGCTCACCCCCGACTACCTGGCGCTGAGCCGCGGCGGGGCGGCGGCGGGGTGCGACCTCTGCGCCGACGGGGCGGCCGTGAGGCGGTGCCTGACCTGCGAGGCCGACCTCTGCCTCTTCTGCTGCCAGGCCCACAGGTGAGGGGGCGGCTAGGGGGTCCGGCCTGGACGGGGCTACCTCGCCACGGGGTGTGTGGGGGCGGCCTTCCCCTCTCGGGGGCCTCTCCTCGAGTCCTGTGTTCAGTTCTGGGCCCCTCGCTACATTGAGCTGCTGGAGGGTGTCCAGAGGAGAGCCACCAAGCTGGTGAGGGGTCTGGAGAACAAGTCCTATGAGGAGAGGCTGAGGGAACTGGGCATGTTTAGTTTGGAGGAGAGGAGGCTGAGGGGAGACCTCATTGCCCTCTACAAGTCCCTGAAAGGAGGGTGTAGAGAGGCAGGTGTTGGCCTCTTCTCCCAAGTGAATAATGACAGTACCAGAGGAGATGGTCTGAAGTTGTGGCAGGGGAGGTTTAGATTAGATATTTGGAAGAATTACTTTACTGAGAAAGTGGTCAGGCACTGGAACAGCCTGCCCAGGGAGGTGGTGGAGTTGCCATCCCTGGAGGTATTTAAGAAACGTGTAGACATGGCTCTTCAGGGCATGCTCTAGTGCCTGAGATTGTTGGTTTGTGTCTGTCTGTGGATGGGTGTGGTGTGTGTGTTCGTGTTTGTTGTTTGTTTGTTCATTTTGTGGTTGGGCTTGATGATCTCAAAGGTCCCTTCCAACCATGAATATTCTGTGATTCTATGAGTGGGTGGGTGCAGTAGGCAGGGACTCCCGCAAAGCTAGCCAAAGTGGTCAACCCACATGTCTTCTAGTTTTTTCAGTCCCTAGTGGGCTTTTAGCCTCCCTGGCAGATGTTCTGTGCTCAGGTGGGGACCAGCAAGCTGCTAGCAGTAGGTCAGGCAGCTCTGTTCAGATGAAGAACTCTCTCATTAAGTCCAAAATCAGGCCACCCTTTGCCTGTGGTGGTGCCCACTTGCTGGTTGGCACCTTGGTTTAGCATCACTTGAGCACTCCAGCAGACATGGATGCAGACAGAGTATTAACAGGACAAGAGCCTTGAGCGTTGTGCTGTCCCGCTTTGGAGAAGGCACGTCTCCCAAGGGAACACAGGGAAGATAAGCTGCTGATCTGCCTCTGTCGATCTCTAGAAACATTTATTGTGCATATGTGCAAAGGCACCTTTAGGTGAAGTGGGAATAAGTGGAAGTTCTGACACTAGCCTGCCTGTATGGTTGCTACTTCCTGATTATTGACACATGTGCCTGCCTGTTGTGTCCATCTATCTTGTGTGTACTTTCAGCATTTCTGTGAGGCTGGGAGCCTGCAGCAGTAGCCCTATTGCTTTGCAGTGTACCTGATGTTGCAGGGTTTAGTTATGTTGGAATACACGAAAACTGAAGACTTAACAGCAGAAGAGAGCTGTGTACTTCAGAGAGAGGGTCATGTCAGTAAGGCAGGAGGAAGAGGTGACTGCAGCAGAGGTGGGAGCTGAAGAGGAGCTGGCCACAGTGGCCAGTGAGCAGGGCAAAGGACAGGCAGCACCATGACAGTAGTGATAGGAAGTCTGAATGGCCTTCTCAAGAAAGGAAGTGGCAGACAGGGTCAGAAAAACACTCAGCAATAGTCAGGGAAGCCTCTTAGCCTGGGTTAATCAGCTCAGCCTATTCTTTCCACATTTGCTGCTTCTTTCCATTTGATTAGCAAATTCTTTCCCCAGAAAAAACTGAGGCATATTCCTCACTGCCCTGCCCCCCTGCAGATACTGGTGCCAGTGGTAAAATCGCTTAGATTCTTAGTTACCTTTCCGCTCGGGGCTGTAATTTTCAGCATACCATTCTGATTAGCTAATGCCTCATACCCTGTACAAGCTGCTGAAGAGTGATAAACTGAGACCTTTAGTAGCAGCCCACTGCACTGACAGAAATAGCTGTGGAAGGTATAAAGCAGTAGAAAACTTGCCCTGATGAACCTGCTTCCTACCTTATTTACTGATATAATTTTTTTACCCCACTAATGTCTGCAGACTTGCACCTGATTTAGTTGATGGCAGATCAGAACAAGGGCCAAGGAAAACCATTTTGAAGTTTTTTCCTGGTGTGTAGGGAAAATTTCTATGGATCTGAGTGCCACTGTTATGCTCTTTGGAATAAGTGATAGAGGTCTTAGGTGGAAATCAGGGAAGCGTGAATCTGAAGGGTGTTGTGCAAATAATGGTGGAAGGATTTGAAAATGTGCTGGATCTAAGGGAGATTAATGGGAAGCAAAAAGAGTAGTGTAAGGGCCATGTCCTGTCCTGTGATGAGGTTGCTTTACGTTGCCAGAGCAACTCTATAGAGCTTGGTCCTCAGAGTATATCTTTGCTTATGGCCTGGAGCTCCCATCGCAACTGCCAGAAGTCATTAGTGCAGGAGGCAAGGAAGTAGAAAAGGCTTTTACATCCTGCTCAATAACGAGCTCCCAGTGTCCAAAATAGCATAAAATGGAAAGATTCTAGTGCTGCCCTGTGACATGGTGGCTGTCTGGATCATAACAGGTTCTTTGTGTCCTGTTCTTGGTCTCCTCTGAGAAGGACCTAACCTGGCCAGAGGAAATGGAGTTTGACTTTCAGAATATTAAATGTTTTACCACAGACTGTCTTCTGGAAGTGGCCTGAACTAGATTTTACCCTTAGCGATATTAGAGCTCATTTTTCTCAGCGAATTTAAAGCTGCTGAAAATCATTGGGCTGATGGCTGAGAAGCTCGGCACCTCCCATTCCTCTCCAGAGGTGACTGTGAGCAATTGTGTTTTGAGACACCTCCTGCCTGCTGTCACTTTGCAGGGCTCCCTGCCCTCCTGCTGCCTTTGTCACAGTGGGCTCTGGGGGTAATTGCAACTATCCCACTTCTGTCAGGCTCTGTGAAGGGGCTGCTGGCAGTAGCATCCTGGCAGCCCGTTCCCTGGTCTGTGTGTGGACATGGTGGACTACACAATTCTTGTGTCTGAAAATAGTGTTGACAGCACGCAGGGAGCCTGAGAGCAGCCTCTAATGAGCTGCTTGCAGATTCTGTCCTCTTTTTACATGGAGCATTGTCCTCAGGAGACCACAAGTCCCTTCGTGCAGAGTGAACTTCAGTGCAGACAGGAGGGAGCGGTGCACACTGTGACTTTGCAGTCTGTACAGACTGGCATTCACCAGGGGTCTGGGATGTTTACGTTTTATATCCAACGCGCATGAAGTGACGTGTGGTTGCTCCCTTCTAGGAGGCAGAAGAAGACGGCCTCTCATGCCGTGACAGAGCTGGAGAACAGCAAGGATTGCAGCCAGGCCGAGAAGCCTTGCTTCTGCCCTTCCCATCCCGCAGAGAGGCTGAGGCTGTTCTGTGAGCAGTGTGACCAGCCCGTGTGCCGAGATTGCGTTGTAGATGGGCACCGGCAGCACCCCTACGACTTCATTGGCAACGTCATCCACAGGCATGGGGATGCCCTGCGGGAGCTGCTGAAGAGCACCCAGCAGCGCATGGGCACCCTCGAGGGTGTGCTGAACCAGATTGATGAGGTGGGTAGTGCTGTCCGCGGTCGCATGGAGGCTGTGGCCGCAGAGATCTGTCTGTTTGCCAGCGGGTACGTGAAAGCGATTGAAGAACACCGGGACCGGCTGCTGAAGCAGCTGGAGGACTTGAAGGTGCAGAAGGAAAACCTGCTCCACTTGCGGAAGGCCCAGCTGCAGCAGCTGCTGCTGGACATGAGAACAGGAGTGGACTTCACGGAACGTTTGCTGACAAGTGGCTCAGACCTGGAGATCCTTATCACCAAAGGGGTGGTAGCCAGCCGGCTGGCAAAGCTGAACAGCGTTGCTTACAACACCCATCCCAGCGTGGAGGACAGGATCCAGTTCTTTCCCCAGGAGAGGGCAGGGCAGTGTCGTGGCTATGAACTGTTTGGGACCATTCTCAATAAAGTGGTTGATCCAGCCAGATGTACCCTGCTTGGGGAAGGTAATGGGGTGCTGTACAATAACTGCTCCCTGAAGTCACCTCTCCATTCTCCGCACCCACGTGGTGTGCGGCTTAAGCCACTGTTGGCTCCCTGCTGCCCAGGCATTGACTAGGGGCAGAGGTAGAGCCCTGCCACAGGTTGCATTTCTTGCTGAGTGCCTATGGCAGCTGTGCTGGGCAGGGCCTAGCCAGAGAGCTATCCCCATCCAGATGTACAGAGCCTACTGGAGCTGCCCTCTGCAACATCACTGACCTCAGCACGGGGCTGAGGTGTGAGGAGAGCGAGCCTTAGGCCAAAGAGTATAGCTTGGTCAGAGGATGGGAATGGCACATGCAATGGCAGGATGTGATGCTCTTCCAGTTGCCCCAGGTGTTCCACAGCATGGGCCCAGGCAGATCCCCTCTTTGGCTGAGCGAGTAGGTTCATTCCCCTTACAGCTTCTGCTGAGATTGCCATGGGAATAACTCGCATGAATGGTTTCATGGATATTTGCTTACTAAGGACTTGGAGCAGGGCCAGCAAACAGATAATGTTCAGACCTGCCTGCAGAGCACAGGCAGCTCTGGTCAGTAATGGCCTGCACAGGGCAGATGAGACAGACCCAGGGGTTGTTCGATCCCTTCCATGCCAAACTGGATGTGCTGAGGTCTCTGGGGGTCCACACTGCACAGCGGGGCTGGTCTTCCTCCCTCCTGGTTGCATGGTACACCTTGAGGCTTTCTGGGAAGATGCCAGCTAGGCTCACAGGGGCAGGCAGGAAGACCACCCTGATCCATACAGACCTTCAGGCTAAGCCTGCCCAACATCGCTCAGCATTTATGGCTGTTCACTCTTTCTTGATCCCTGGTCATATATATTTACTTTTCCCTGTGAGTGGAAGGAGCTGTACGTCCCAGCAGCAAAGTCTTGACTGTGCTCTGGTGGGGACTGCAACACTGCAAAGTGGGTGGGAGTTGGCAGTTGTGATGGTGTGAATCCTTTCTGGTCCTGTTTCTCTGCCTTGCAGATCTCCACAGTACCCGTCAGAACCAGCTGACTGGCTTTACCCTGCTGTGCAGTGACACCACGGGGGAGCAGATGGGGCGAGGAGGGGAGACTGTGCAGGTCACCATCACCCACAAGGACAAGAGGGACTGGTGGGTATTTTATCCGAGGGCTTCCCAGTCAGTGGGTTTGCCTTTCTGCCTCCCTTATCCTGGCTTCCTCTTTGGTTGGGCCGGTGGGAGGATGTGCTTCAGCATGTGGGTCAGAATCTGTAGGGGAAAAGGCACGTCTTCCCACCAGTATAGCAGTGCTTCTTGCTGGTTTTATTTGGCTGTGTGGATCTTAACAGTGTTGGCTCAGATTTTTATTGAATCTTTCAGTGATTTGGGACTTCTTAAAGGATTCAACTCTCGGTGGGTGTTAGGCATTGTCAGAGTGAACTGTTGCTTCCAACCCCTGCCAGTAGACACTCGGGGCTCCTGCTTTTGTTAATACCTAATGAACGTAAAACTTAACAAACCCAGAATGACTGTCCCAAGTCCAACAGACCATTCACCAAGCCCAGGAGCCTCTCACAGCTGATGGAAGTGCCTAGTGTATGTTCTGGAGAAAGAATCTGTGTCAGGACTTCATTGTGCTTTCTCCTGTAGTTGCAAGTGTTGAGTGCTTTAACATGTTCAGAGGTTTTCTAGCAGAAGCAGGAAGATTGCACTTGGACTCTGAAGTGTTTCCACAATGAAAACGACCCAACAGAAAAAAGTACTTTGTTTCCAGGCCACGCTTGTTACTATAAAGCAGTCAGGCACAAATGCAGAACCAACTGGGGGTCAGTTCTTAAGAAAAACATCTGTCCAGTTTTGTAGTACATACAGTGCAGCTGGAGCAAGATCCTGGTGTAACTCTTTCAAGGATGCACTATTGGTGGGATGACTTGATGAAAAAAGGAACAGGACGCTAAAACTCCGTGCCATAGGGAAGTGCTGACACGGTGTACAGAAACAGTGCTGGCTGCACAGATGTTTATCAATAGAGCATCCTTGTTCAAGAACATTGCTCCAGTGTACCTTATTCCTTAGATGCCCATACAATGTAGGAAGGTGTGCACATGAGGATTGTGTGGATTTTGTGTGGTGGGGTAGAGGTCGCTGTGGCCACGTTAACTCAAATTTCTTGGGTTTGTGTGTATGCAGTTGCTACATCTGGTGGTGAAAGCTGTCTGGCTTTGGGTTAAGGCACAGCAGCTGAAGCATCACCTCACGATTCATGGCAGGAAATGGTGTAGGCAGCTGTATTGATGTGAAATGGTGGGGGGTGGGGAATACAGCCTGCAAATCTGGAAGATTATAAACTGTCATGTTTTGGGACATGAGAGACTAATTAGTGGGGATGAGGAAGAAAACCTTTCTCTACACACAGCTGCCTGATAATTGTCTCTGGAAAGCTCTTTCCACCTTGCTGAAACAGAGAATCAGTAACTAGCTGATGCTTTCTCCCTGGCACTATGTCTACCAAGATTCCTTGTGAAACCCAGAGAGCTTCATTTTGGAAAGGGAAAGTTCACCAGCAGGGACCTAGAACTCCTCAAAGCATTGAAGAGTTGGGATCAATGTTTTTGGGACAGTGGTTGAAGTGATTCAAACCTGCTCCGTTTATGTCCTCTCTTATTCATGGTTTCTTCTGGAGGTAACTGCTCGCTGAAGCTGTGAATTTACCACATTTCTGAGGGCTGTTATCTGATGGGGTGATTTGACCTGCAAGTGCACTGTCTGTCATCTTCTGCTCTTTCAGTGCTCAGGGTAGTTACAGATCCTTGCAGTGCAGCTAGCTTTGTGTGACTTGCTTTGTATGGTTATTGCAGCTCCCAGTAGCATGTGTGTGTGGAAGCTACTCGATGCTTGAGCATTGCTCATGCGTCCTGTTAAGCTCGCTTGAGACCTGCAGCTGCTGAACAAAGCTGAGGATAAGGAACCGACCACAAATCTAGGGCAGACAATGAGGGTAGAGCAATTTTCTGCCAGTCACTGACCTCTTTTTGGACGTCTCTCTGTTCATAGTGCAGTCAAGCCAACAGTGTGTGATAATGGTGATGGGACCTACCATATTTCCTACAGCCCTGAGGAGCCAGGCTTGTATGCTGTCTGCGTCTATGTGAAAGGGCAGCATGTAAAGGTAACATTTCTTGTTTCTTTTGCACTGCTTCTTCTTTACCTGCTTTTCTAAGTGTTTGCTTCAAATCTTTCTAAGGATTTCCTCTACTGCTTAGCAGTTTGGGACTGGGCTTAGTGATCTGACAGGATCACCTGGCTGGTTTTTGAAAACACAACCACAACATCTGATAGCATCCGCTGCAGCAGCCTTTCTGCTTGCTTGTCCTCTGCAGGGCTCTCCATTCACTTTGATGGTGAAAAACAAGTTCCGTGAGCACCGAGGCGTGTTTCACTGCTGCACCTTCTGCTCAAGTGGAGGGCAGAAAGCTGCTCACTGTGCCTGTGGGGGTACCATGCCAGGTGAGTGCTCAGCTTTCCCCACATTTCTCAGTGAGGCTAAGCAGCACTGTGGCTATGCTGTTCCTCTTCCCATTTTGGCAGCTTGGGAGCTTCCAAACTGTGTCACACGGTGCCCAATGCTGTTCTGTGGAAAAGCCTCACACTTCATTTAGGGTGAGAGTTCAACACTCTAATTTGTTTAATCCCAACCAGCTTCCCTGTCTGTGACCTGCGTGTGTCATTGTGTGTTTTCAACATTTGAGTATAGAACCAGCCTCTACCTTTTTCTGTGCTTGATCTGTATCTAGCTCTGGCCATAGCCACCAATGGCTGGTGCAGTGTTCTGCAGGCTTGTGTCTTGCATTATTCAACAGACAAGGGGATGGAAATCTTCAGCTTTCCCCAGCAATTGGAATAGGGAGGTCCCCTTCTGTTGTTCTCCTTTCTTTAAGGAGCCGAGGTAATTTTGAGGTTGAATGTGCTGTGGTCTCATCAGCACACGACTCCACATCTTTGAGAAATCCTGGGGCTGAAGCACTCTTTGAAAGTCTCTGACACACTGGGATTTTCTGGCCTACTTTTGGTTGCCTCTTCTCTTGCAGGTGGGTACCAAGGCTGTGGCCACGGACACAAAGGTCATCCTGGCTGCCCCCACTGGTCATGCTGTGGACAAGTGAAGGAGAGCTCAGAGTGTTTGGGAGGGCCACCCAGCGACACCTCACAGAGGAGTTTGCTCAGGACAGTTGCCCTCTGAGCAGCCAGGTGAGCCCCTGCAAGCCCAGGGCACTGCTGCTGGTTGCTGCATGAGCACAAACCATGAGGATCCTCGCTATCACTGCAGAACCTCACTGCCAATATCGTGAAGGGTGCAAACTGAGAAGGAGGAATGAGGGAAAATAAAATTGTGCCTTATATTCCACCCGGGGCTGTGTACGCAAAGTTGTTTTGTGCCTGAACAGGAGCAAACTCTAGGAATCGTACTGGTGCCTACACTTGCAAGGACTTGAGGCCCCTTGGGGTCAGACTCTACGGGGAAACTCAGTCTGAGCAGTTACCTCACAGGAAGGTCAAGATGTGTCTCCTTCTGCAAGATTGACAGTCTCTGCTGTCCTTCTTGAAGAGGCCAAAGCTGCTCACTGGGGCACATTCCAAAGCATTTGTGTTCGTGCCTTGGAAAGGCTTGGCAGCCTGAATATGGCTTCTGCCTCCCTGTTACATATGTGGTGTATATAGCACAGTCACACTCCTGGGAGCTGCTATTGTGTTTGCAACTCTTATATTTTCTCCAAGTAAGCTGCAGTCTCATTATGCCCTTCCTGCAAAGTAGGAGCAATGGGGATTAGTAATGTATCTGAAGGAAATCCAAGGAAAAACTATGACGCTGACGGGAACAGGAATTAGAATGTCATTCACCCAGTCTGTGTGTTCTCCATGGAGATGGTTTGGGACATAGTGCCGCTGGGGGTGATCCGGGAGCCAGGAGAGCACCCAGCTCACCGAGGGAAGATTTGGGAACAGTTTGAGCATCGGTAGGAGCCATAGGTGTAAGTTTGCAGGTGTCTGTCCTGAACTGGGGCAGCTAGGCAAGAGCAGCAGGAGGAGACAGAATACAGCAAAACTCCTGGATTTGGCTTGTGCAGTCGTGGCAAGGCTTTATTTTTAGAAGGAGAGCTTGTCCCATTTTCCATACGGGAGGAGGGATGTATATCCTGTTCTTGTACGTGTGCTGCCACCCCATAGCTGGGGAAATGACATCTGTGGTGAGGAGTAAGAGGCACTTTCTTGGAAGGGCAACTGCTAACCTGCCACTTGCTGCCTGCCACTTGCCTGGGTGCAGCAGACACCCTGGGTACCTTCCTGAACAAAACACATTTGTGTCATTGAGACTGGGAACTCTACTGCCCTGGGGACAACCTTGCTGGCAGGTGTGTTGCTAGGGGCTCCCAGTACTGCCTGGGGAGCTGGGGACAAAGGTCTGATTGTTGGTCACTTGGGGAGAGGAATGCTGCTCCAGTGTCAACAGTAAGGACTGGTTCTTTCTTTCTGGCTAATGATAGCTGGCTTGTAAATAGTAGAAACCTGTGCTGTCAGTTTGCTTGCTTGAACCTAGAAGACTCTCATTTGTTGTTTGTTCCTCTTACAAAGCCAGTTTTGGAACTTCTTCCCAGCAAAGGAGATAGATATCCTTATGCAAATGCTGTTTATGGCTTTCCATTAATCATCCAGAAAGGGCTGTCAAACAAACCAGAGAAGGTTAAGGCAGTTTACATCTCCAAGTTAGGCAATTTAAGTCTCCAAGTTGCTGACGCTGAAATTTCAGAGTCTGATAATTTGACTTAACCTTTAATGGAAGAAAAAGTAACTCATTCATGTCCTTACTATGTTCAGAGTTGGTGATCAGCACAGAATTCAATGTAAAACAAAATGCCTCATTTTCTGTGTCTATTTCTTGCCCCCCAACCCCAATGTATGCGTTGTTTTTCTTAGAGATTCCATGCTCTATTGCAGAGGGAACTCATAAGGACGGCGCTACCTTCTAGGCACATAATTTCTGTCTAAAAACATCTTAGTCCTCTCAGACAGAGGAATGTGTTTTCTCTTTGTATTAGGCATCCCTTACACACCCTGTCGCTGACATTTTCCAAGAAGCTGTTTGTGAGAATTACACCAGCGAACATATAAACCCTTCAGGGAACTGCAGTCAGCTTGGGCTAAGCTCTACGTTTGACACCAGGAAGAGCAATTTTCGGACAGCATGGGGTACTAATCTGCCAGGGTCAGGCCCTTGTATTGACTTTTTTCTTTTTATTAGACTTGAAGGTTCAGTCAGTCCCAGGGATTATAAAATATTGCCTGGCTACCACTCTGAATTTGGACAAAGAGGGCTGTGCATTAGGGTAGCTTGAAGAATCATGTGCAGAAAAGACATTTAATGACCTTAGTCACTTTGTGGGGGATAGGTGTGAGTGTCCTCCCATTATTTGCAAGTAGATTTTGACCTCAGTGTTCCTTACTCAGAATGCTTTGCCAAATGAATACATCTTACTGATCTGCTGGAATCTCACATTGGATACCGACAGCCATTCCTAGGAATGGCTTCCAGAGCTCTGTTGGTAATCCGCCTTAGGCAGGTGGTGGATTAGGAGGTGTAGTTAGTCTACTAGGCTACATGATGTTATTTCTGACCAGGTGGTCCTTCAGATAACAAAGGTCTTTTCAAGACAGGCGTACATGCAGTGCTGACAGAGCTACACCAGTAAATATTGCTATTTTTCCCAGGAGAAAAGCTCTTGTTGATAAAATTGCCTGTCTCCAAAGTTTGAAAAAAAATATAAAATGGGGATGAACATGAGGAGAGGCTTTGGGAGGTAAGAGAAAGAGGGCTTACTCCCAAGATAAGGAAAAGAGTGTAGCTGTGAAAAACACAGCAAGATCAAGAGACTGTGGAAGACCTGGAAGGAAGACTCTATGTAGGGTGCCTCTAGAGTCAGTTATCATGCTAGGGTATCTCCCCCATCTCAGATGAGGCAAACCACACTGGTGACACAGCTGCACTTGTAGCTCCATGTTTGAGCATCTAGTTTGTCCCCAGAAGATCCCAGGAGCAGTGCAGAAGCTTGCTCAACAGGGCTTCTTGGCCTTCTCATGGCAGGAGGTGGTTCACAAAGGTGCACTGACCATCTAGACTGCCATGTCAAGACAGATCCTGGCAGTGTCTCACAGACTGTGTAGAGGACTTTGTTTATTTCCAGCCAAGGGTGGCTCACCACCGCCCTGTTTTGAGAGATGAGGCCTTGTTCTGAGTGCTGCTGCTTCCAGCTTCCCTTCAAAGGTGGGCAAGGCTGAGGACAGGTAGAGCTGATAAGGCAGTGACAAGCTCTCCTCTTTCCAGACCACTAGTGTTCCCATTTTTGGTGCTTCTCAAGCACCTCTTGACACCATTGTTACAGGTGTGGGATCAAAAGGCTGGAAAGACGTCCAATATTTGTTGTCAAATCCCAAGGATAGCTTTCATCTTTTTCAATCTGCTGGCTGCCTTCACCTCTCTTGAGTGCTCTGTCAAACTTGTCTGCTTGTCAGCTTGCCACAACTCCCATCTTCTTCTGGTTCTCTTCCTTCGCTGATAGCTCCTCCAGTGTTCCAGTGACATTGAAATAAAGCATGAACTTCCCGTAAGCAAGGGAACTCTTCTGACAGAATTATTATTTGTGAAGAAAGAAACAAGTTTTATCATGAAGAGTGGAGTGACTGCAGTCTAGTTCTTGTGCCTGTGCCTCCCTCAGACCACTGAACATCTTCTTTGGCTTTGACCCACCTTCAGTCCTTCCTGCCTTCACTATTCCCTCATGCAGGCAAGAGCCAGCTGTAGGGCACTGGCTGGTGGGCTCAGCAAATCTGCTAATGTTTCATGCCTACTGTCACCTTCCTCTCAAGTGAAGACAGCTGATGTGTCTCTTCCCCAAGTGCTCACCAGCTTTCACAGACCAGATTCTGCTGTCACATTTGGTTGGATTTTGGTAATAGATTCAAAAGTGGTAAGAGCTGGGCAGACCATGTGGTCACAGATCCTTAATTTTCTTGGGAAGTATTCTGAGTACCTCTTGTTTTTTACTGCATAAACATATGGAGAGGGGTAGGCTCCAGCATGAGAGCTGCTTGGTTATTAATGTGGTGTTGCCCTGGTGAGTGGGACTTGCCATGGTCCTACTGGGGCTGCTCGTGCCTGAGAAACAGATTTGTTGTTCCAGCATGGAAGTAACCTGGCTGTGTGGTGAGGTGTGCTGCAGCTATGACCTGCAGTTAACTGCTGTTGAAAGGGGACACCTCGTTTGTGCACTGCACCAAAGGCAGCCGTAAATCAAGTGTCACTGAGGGCAACAGGATATTTCTTAATGTGCATTTCCCACCAGGCCACTGTGGCCTGGAGCTATTCTTAGCTTCTAGTAATGCTATGCTAAATTACAACAGGTTTAGTAACGAGTGGAAGACTACAAAACAGGCCAGATTTCATTTTTTTTTTCAGACTGAAAAGGTCTATTCCATGCTAAAGCAAAAAGGAAGTGAAAACTGTATAAAGTTTACTTCATAAGTTTAAACTATTGCGATAACCAAAGAGCAGCAGTGATTCTCAGGTGTGAGATTTCCACTCCTCAGTTTCATTCAGAGGCCAGAGGATGAAGGACATGCTTTCAGTAACAGCCGAGACTGGAGCGTTAGGAGTAGGTCCTGTTCACACCTCTGCCACGGAGCTTGCACAGGGTGTTCAGGTGTCTCCTCTGTCTGGAGAGCAATTAGCTTCACAGTCCAGCACTCGCATTGAAGTAGCACATGAACAGCTGGGAAAACCCAATGACTAGTCACTCTTGAAAGGCCAATGTCCCACCCTGGCTCCTCTGTCCTCGCTGCAGGCCGTGCAGTCAGTCCTGCCCCACCAGAAGCATCGCTGGGTGTGACACTCCTCTGACTTAAAGGGGAACCAATTCAGCTCCCTGACCCTGCAGGAAACCATTTGCTTTCTAATTTTACTTTGCTTTGTAACAGGTGACTAGGCTTAGTGGAGGTTCAGATCTGTGCTCTCATCAGTGGAAGGTGGTGGTTCAACACAGACTGTGACATGTAACTTCATCTTGGCATGAGGAGGCTGGAAGTGGTGAGTCCTGGGTGCTAAGTGCCTTGGAATACAGTTTGCTGACTTTGGTGCCTGTAAAAGAGCCACGGCCTATTCCAGCCCTCTCTCTGCTGTCTAGAAAAGTCTGTTATGTGTCATGCAACACACATGGGTATATTCATCCCTCGTAGAGGTGAACAGGCTCTTTTGGAGTTGAACTGTGGTCCAAAAGACTAAGCACACACTTCTGAAATCTTGCACATGCAGTTAGAAGGCCACTGTGCCCCTCGGGGCACTGTAAGCCCTCCTGAACCCTACTCAGCCTTTGCAGCTAGTTTGATCATCACTGAGCGGTATTGATTGGTCTTGATTTGAACCTCTGTTTGTTGCAGAGAAAGTAATTTGTTTTTTCTTAGGTGCTGGACTGTTTCCAGTTCCTCTGGTCATGCTCAGCTCTGCTTGGGAAAGCTGTTCACTCCCTCTGATCCTCCAAACTTGCTGGAGATGGCTATGGACTGTCAAAAATTCCCCGTCTTCCCTGGAATGTAGTCCAGACATAGGTAACAGGGTACACAGGTTCCCCTTCGGGAAACCGAACATGGTGCAAGCTGCTTTCCCTTTTCTGTTCTTTCACAATCTCTCTGCCCTTCTTAACCTCTTGTGCCCAAGAGCTACACATCCTGCCCCCAGTCTTGAGTGAAACCAAGCACAAAGGGAAAGGCTTGTAGGGTCTGTGCCAGCTACTTTCTTCACATGCTCTGATGTCCACCATAATGGCAGATCTGAGAGGAGCAGGAGCTGGCCTTGGGGAGTAGAAGTGTTTTGGTCTGGAGGAGTTCAGAGGAAGAAAACAGCAGTAGGAAAAGAGGCTGCTGCTGAACCCGTGTGGCCCTGACAGCGCTGCTGAGCCTGGAGGAGCCTCTTAGCACAGCACACAGGGCTGAGAAGGGTCCCTGCAGATGGGGCTTCCCTGTCAGTTCCAACAGGAAGGCTGGAGATTTTAGCAAGGATACCCAAGCTAGCCCTGGATATAATACAACCCACCTAGTGATGGGTGAGCTGTGGATCTACATGGGAGGCTGCTACACGCTGACCTAAGGATTAGCTGGCTACCCAACCATGAGCTGTGGTGGGTTTTTTTGTTTCAGATCAGATGTGTTTCTTTAATGGGTGGTGTAGGAGGTCTCTCCTGTTGCCCCAGTGACTAACCAGGACTCCCTGCTTTTGACTGGCCTTGTGCAGGGAGCTGAGATGCCCACTGCTTCCTCATTCCTGAGAGTTCACTGCTTGGGTTCACCACTCCTTGGCTGAGTTCAGTTATTTAAGCAGAACAGCCTGGGAGAACGTATCATGCGAAGGAGAGGGGCTGTGCTGAACAGTGTGGGACCTTCAGGCGCTTGGTGTTTGGCTTGTCTTCATAGGTGCTGTGACCATGGCATCCCAAGGCCAGGTCATTTTTTGGAGGTATGGTATTATCTACATCTGCTTTGGGAGAGAGGAGGGAGGGAACTGCATTTTCCAGACTCCTCAGCTGTATCACCTTGCTGCCAGGAGCTTTCAAGAGACCAGTTCTTTGCAGCTTGACTGTGATACTGCACTCACCAGTACAGCTTCTTTTATACAATCAGTAAGGCCAAGTAGCTGTCAGACACCCATGTGCAGGTCATCAACTGCAGCCAGGATGGAGATTTGTGTCCTAGAAACTCTGAATGGCTGGAATATGACACCTGAGGTTTGAATGCTGTTGTAGGTCAGTGTATTGATGGCTAGATCCTGGGTGTAAGGCAGAAGCTGTCCTAAGGCAGGTTTCCTTGCTGTGTGGGCCAGAAGTAAGAGCTGGGAAGATGTACAAGCTGGTTTGTTTCTCTCATTTCAATGAGCTGCTTTCCTTTGGAGCTACTAACCTACTCAAGGTGAACTGCAGTCAGAAAAAGAAGTATCACGAGGAAGGCAATAAAATATTTATCTCATATCTTTATCTCCTGATTAGTTGAAAATAACTTGTGGTTATTTCTGGTTAATACCAGATTGCTAAATTAGTTGGTAAACTTGCTTCAGCCTGTGATGAACGTGGACTGGGCTTGCATCTAAACCTGACTGCTTGAACCACCAACAAGCTGTGTCTCTTCATCCCAGGCATGAGCTCTTCCAGGCTGGATAGAGGCAGAGGCTCTGGTGAGGTGTGTGAGACATCCCTGTTTGCACTTATTCTGTCAAAAAGGTTTTGGCTGTTTTGAGTATCTGTCCCACCTGAGCTGAACAGCAGTGGGGAGAAGGACAGTTCACATGTGAACAAAAGAGACCTCTTTTGCATGAGCTGTACTCCAGCTTTCTCACATGGGGCATCAATGAAGTGCTAAACAGTAATATTATCTGTACCTTTTCACTGACAACAGTGAAATCACAGTTTAAATATCCACTGGGCATCGTATTCCCATGCATCTGGAATTCATGTAATAACTAGCTCTGTTATTCTCAAGAGGTAGCCCGGCTGGCTTTTGTCAGGGAAATGCAATAACTGATGGGTGTGGAAAAATGAACACCTACCCCTTGCTGCTCTGGGAACCATCCTCCAGCTCTGCCAGCACCTCTGCTTGCCCCGGGTGCTGCATGCAGCCAGACAGCAGCAGGTTACTGGAAGCAGGAGGCTTCTTCAAGGCCACTGGCCCCTTCAGGGCAATTTTGAAATGCAAAAATAGCCCAGAGGGAGGGCTGAATTTTCCAGGAAGCTTCAGAGAAGCAGTGGGAGATTTCTGGTTATTTCAGGAAAAAAAACAACCAACCAACCAAAAAAAACCACCAAAAACAAAACTAAAACCAGAACAGCTCAAAGAATTAAACAGAAGTGCTGAGAAAAGTGGAGCTCTGCAATTATTAACTTATTTTTGGAATGGAAAACCCTTCCTTTTGGGTTACCCTTGCCCTGCTATTTCTGCAGTAAGCTTTGATATAAGGAGAAAGGCAGGGGACCTTCAGCCTCTTAATCTTCCAAGTTTTTTGATCCTCACACCCCTAAGCCCATTACTGAGAGAAGGCTTACTCTGCCTGGAGCCAGAGATCAGGAGGATGAAGCCTCTGCCGTCTGTCACAGCGGGGCTGTGAGCCTCTCTCTGTCCCCAGGCTGTGCTCAGCAGCATTCAGGCTGCCCAGACTTGCAGGCAAAGCCCCATTTGGCTGATGAGGAACAGGACCACAGAAAAGAGGATAAGATGCACGGAGCGGCATCCTGGCCTGTATCAGGAACAGCGTGGCGAGTAGGGCCCGAGAGGTGATTGTCCCCCTGTACTCGGCACTGGTGAGGCCCCACCTCGAGTACTGTGTCCAGTTTTGGGCCCCCTACTACAAAAAAGACATTGAGGTGCTGGAGCGGGTCCAGAGAAGGGCAACAAAGATGGTGAGGGGTCTGGAGAGTAAGTCTTATGAGGAGAGGCTGAGGGAGCTGGGGTTGTTCAGCCTGGAGAAGAGGAGGCTGAGGGGAGACCTTATTGCTCTCTACAACTACCTGAAAGGAAGGTGTAGAGAGATGGGGGTCGGTCTCTTTTCTCAAGTCACAGGCGACAGGACAAGAGGAAATGGCCTCAAGTTGCACCAGGGGAGGTTCAAGCTGGATATTAGGAAAAATTTTTTCACTGAAAGGGTTATCAGCCATTGGAATGGGCTGCCCAGGGAGGTGGTTGAGGCACCATCCCTGGAGGTGTTCAAAAGACGGGTTGATGTAGTGCTGGGAGGTATGGTTTAGTGATGATGCTCCTTGTTTGTTGTGTGGATGTCTATTTTTGTCAGTTAGGTTGACGGTTGGACAAAATGATCTTTAAGGTCCCTTCCAACCTAGAAGATTCTGTGAGTCTGTGATCCCACAGGCTGCCAAAGTGTCACCAGGAACCGTGGGCGGTGTGAGGGCTCTGACTTGTGCAGCCCCAGCTGTGTCAGTCTGTTGTCGTGCTTCTGCAACGCTGGAAGTACAAGGGGTGCTGCTGCACAGAAAATTGCTTTTCACTTGAACTGCTGGACTGGGCTGTTGCGAAACACAGCTACCATCAGCGTGCGGCTGGGTTGCCAGCTGCTTCTTGTTTGCCTGTGCTCTGGGTTGACCCAATGTGCATGGGGAGTTGCAGGCAGATATTTTTAAGGCCCTTGGATATCACAGTTTCTGTGGAGGAAACTCCAAAGGGTTTGATTTCCCCTTGTCCTTGGCAAGGGGTGTTCAAGTGGGCAGTGGCAGCCGTGTACTCAAAATTGCCATCCCCCCTATAACAAATGAGCGGCTTTTTCCATCAGCCCTCTTGTTGCCTTGGACCAGGGGTGGGAAGCACTTCTCTGGATGCAAAGCTAGGGAGGCTCTGCAGCTAGGGGGGAAGGTGGCACCAGCAGGGGACAAAAGCGTTGGTGCTGGCCCGTTTGTGCTGATTTGTGTTTCTGTGTGGGCAAACTGAGGATGGTTTTGGCTGGCACACTGCTAGGGCAGAGGTGGTGTTCAGGCCAGATGGTCCTTTCAAGGTTGCACCTGAAGTTTTCAGGGACTGCACAGGAGGGCATCCTGGCTGCTTGTCCCCTGCCGTCCTCCCTCTGGCATTTATCAATGAAATCCTCTGTAATCTGCAGGCAGCATCCCTCGGTTCCCAGTAATTTCTCCCCTGCCCACTCTTGGGAAGAAGGATTTTAATCTAGAGGCATGAGGGTGAGTCACAGCCACTGTGAGACTGTGGATGACACTTGGCTCCAGGCATATGTGCTGTGGGTCTAAGCCCATGCTTCCCAGGCGTGAGAGCTGAGTTTGATCATGGCAACCTTGGCCGAGTTTGTAGCAACTATCTCGCTCTGGGATCAGCTCTGTAGAAATCAGTGCAGCTCCTCAAGGAAGCAGATACTATTCAGCATCTGCAAGAGGCTCAGTGTCTGCCCTGGAATAGGAAAACACGGAGTTGTCCCACGGTGAGCCTAGGCGAGACCCATAGGTTGAGCCCCATAGGACTTGACAAGCCTCTGCTGGGAGGTGTCATGCTGCAGGATCCACATGAGTCAAGAACAAAGTCCCCATCCCACAGGTCCCCAGGGGAGGTGGTGGTTGGGTCCCCGGTTGCCCCATGCCTGTGGCTGGAGGATATCTGCCACTTTCCTCCCCGACAGAATCAGCTGTGACTGCAGCTGCAGGGCAGCAGGAGGGGGCAGGCAGAGAACCACTGTCCACCCTGGTCGTGAGTGAAAGCTGGTGAGAACAGGGAGGAAGCCAAACACATGACACCTCCCAACTCTGAGGGCATCTAGGCAGGGAGGGCTTGGCATGGATGTGAACATATATATGGCCTCATATGAACCTTTATATGAACTTCTTATATACTCGTGGTGAAATACACAGTTCTGATCCCTTCTCCTGAGCATGCTGGCGTGTGCAGACAGGGCTTCCTCAGACAAATTACCACTGGAGGAGGATGGAAGGAAGATGATGGGAGGGCAAGCAAGCATTCTGCAACATCTCCCATCCCCTCTTTCAACCCATCTTCCCTTTCTCCCTTCCCTGCTGCTCCCTGCAGGAGGGCCTTGTTCACATGGTGCAATTCCCTAATGCTCCGTATCACAGGGGTCTGTGGTGACTGAGGCGTGACAGTGCCAGTAACTGCTGCGGGCACACTTTGGTGGTGGGAGGATTTTGCAGTTGTAGGGACACGGATGGGCTCTTGGGTGGGAGGCTGCCCAGTGTGTTGGGAGAGCGTGTGCTGAACAACAGCAAACGCTGCTGAAGTGGAGAGCTGGTTTTGTGTGGACAGGAGGGCTGTGACATCTCACAGCGGGGTCCTGCCTGGGGACCAGGTGGGAAGCAGCAGTTCAGGAGTTTCTTTGTACGATGGGGTAAAACAAGCCCCCTGAATGCTGGTGTGGAGTGGCCACTGTTGGTGCCCATGCCTCCTACAGTGCAGCTCCCTACAGTGCCCAGGCTCGGGAATGGGGTCAAGTCCTCTGTGAGGACCTCCTGCAGCTCTCTGGGCTTCTCTGACAATACTGAGCAGGGCTGAGGCTCTTGGGCATGAGCATGAGCTGCTTGCCCTGGGATGTACCTGTGGGATTCTGTGAGGAGCTGCTTCATGGCTAGCCCTGGTGGGGAGCTGAGGTCACTATCATAACCCCCCAGTCCCCATGAAAATGTGCCCAGGGCCACGTGTGACAGCTCCACTGGCTGTGGTGGGAGCTTGCATCTGGCCACACTTAAGGGTCTGTCCAAGCTGGGGCTGTGCCAGAGAAGGGTTGTGTTTGCCAAGGCTTGACCTGTGCTGCTCCGTGCCATGATGCCTTGTCACCTCCCCTGCCGGGGCTGTTCTGCCTGTGTGGCTTGGCAAGTAGTCCTTTCCTCCTCAGTCTCGCATTCAACGGCCCCTTAAAAATCTGTGCATGAGGATCCCAAATCTGACCAGCTCACAAACCTGTCCCTGTTTCCAGCCCCCTCCTGCCTGCTCCCTGGATCATACTGGGTGTCTCCTGGGGTTAGTGGCCTGTCTCAGTGCTCTGCTCACCTCCCTGGGCAACTGGTCCCTCAGAAGTGCCAGCAGGGACTGGCCGGCTCGCTTATGCACTGGGAGATGCAGAGGAATATCCTCCACTGGGACCCACTGCCTCCTCCCAAAGACAAAATCTGGGTCTCCTCCCACCCCATGGTCTCCCACCTCTGATGACAAGCATTTACCTCATCACTACTGTGCTCATGGACTTCACTGGTCCACCTTGCTTGTGGCTTGCCTGCCTTGATCTCCTTCCTGCCGGCAAGCTCTGCAGACATGCAGAGGCGTGGGGTGTGAAAGGAGGTGGGCTGTGTGGTAAATGTTGTCCTTTCTTTTTTCCCCAAATAGCATGACTACAGTCATCATCATCCTGGCTGTGGTGATTGCCCTGATCATCGGGTTTGGTGTCTCAGGTATGTGACTGCTCAGATTTCTCCCTGTTATCAGCAGGGCCATGAACTTCTGGCCCTGCTGCTGCCTCCGCGTCTCCATCCTGTGCATGGGCTGAGGTGTGATCTTGTGTGGAAGTGCCACCTACAACCTTTTAGGGAAGGCTCACTTTATAAACCTTACGTACCAGATGGCTGAATTAAAACCGCGCAGGTGACTTCAGTCCTGGCCTTTCTCGACAAGGTATTAAACCACAAGGAGCTGTGCTCTCCTCGGAGACTGTGAACTCTTGTAGGTTTTAAATAATGCAGAGATGTACACACACGCACGCATGCACACATGTGTGGTCAGAGTGGGCTAGGAGACACCAGCACTTGGCACTCAGAGCCGAGTGAGGAAATCTGTGTTGGCTCTAAATTTCTGCAAAAACTTGTCAGCGGAACCGCCCCGAGCTGCAGCAGCGGCTGTGCACGCATGAGCCCCAGTGCTGTGGGACACCTCCTTTCTGCCCCAGGAAATGTCTTCCTGGCCTATGCTTTGACAGCAGAAATTAAGAGGGTTTTTGTTTGATTGGTTGGGTTTTAGTTATCTGGCATGTTAGCAACTGGAATATTCAACTCCATTTGTTGCTCCATGGAAAGCTGGCTGAGGCAAGGGATAGATAAGCGTAGCACAGCCCGTGCTGCTGTGTTGGCTGAAATTTCCTTGGGTTTGGAGCCCTAAACCTACAGATACAGAAAGTCCTGCACATACTGTGCTCCTTCTCCCAGCTGGGAGGAGACGATGGTATTTATTGCGAAGTCAGGCAGCATCTGCCAGGATGGGGCACATTCTCCTGCACCCTCGGAGACAACAAAAATGTGTTGCCTTGGTGTTGGCCAAAATGCAGCCTCCTCAGGGCGTGCTAAGTGAGGACAAATTAGGGAAGAGCAGCAGGGGAAAGAGGACCTGGCTCTGAGAAGAAGCTAACTGGTTAGAATTCAACTTAAGAAGTGATCTGTGTCCCCAGGGAAGGGAAATGCTGACTTTAAACAAAAGAAAACAGTTTGGATTCCAGTAAGGGTGAAGAGCAGCCTCTTATTTCCTTGCCAGCATTACGCTTTGCAATCGCATTTATATTGCATAAGGGCGTTCTGGCTAAGAAAAGACACAAAAGTCATGCTGTTCTGGCAGCTGTAAAGAGAAAAATCCCTGATACATATGAGAAAGAAAGAAAACACCATGCGAATTCTTCTCAAATAAATAAGAGGGGCTACTTTTTGAAGCACACTGCCTGCTGAAGAAATACTCCTGCACTTTGTCTTGGTATATAAGCCATGGGAGTTGACTTCTGCCCTGGTAGCTGCTGCTGCCACCCTTGGGATGTACCAGTGCCCGTTCAGCCTCAGGGTTGCTGCGTGAAAGCCACGAGTCTGGCCTTTTTCTGCACTTGCTGCCTCGCTTTTCTCATGCTGTCTTGCTTTCTCCTTGCAGGAAAACGCTCCATCAGTGTGACAGCACTGACGTCTTCGGGGAACATCGGCCAGCGCGGTGTTCTAGGCTGCACTTTTGAGCCTGACATCTGGATGGGCAGCATAGAGATCCGGTGGGCCAAGGCAGGAGTAGCCGGGCTGGTGCACGAGTTTAAAGGTGGGAAAGACCACCTGCAAGAGCAAGACGCGTCGTTTCAGGGCCGCACGGCGGTGTTCGTGGACCAGGTGATTGGTGGCAATGCTTCCCTGGAGCTGAGGGACGTGCAGCTCTCCGACGCCGGCACCTACCGGTGCTCCGTCACCACGGCCAGAGGGAGCGGGGCAGCAGTGCTGCAGTACAGGACGGGAGGTGAGGGGTATGAGGAAGAAAATCCTGCTGCAAAACACATGCTAATGTGGCTTGGTTGGACCTGCTGAGCTAGGGGCTCTGTGAGTGGCACCCACTCCTCCAGGAGCCACCGTCATGCCACCATCAGGCCACCATCAGGGCCTGAGTAGGACTGGGATATTCTTTTTGGCTTTTCCAGAAGTATTTATGGCCTTACCCACTCTTTTGACATCATCGTTCCTGAAAACAATCTTATTTTAATGCTCTCAGTTCTCTTTTTCTTCTATTTACCACATGTAGCCTGCCAGCTACATAACTGACTACAAAGAGCCCCTAAGAATGGGAGTAGCTAATTGATCTTACAAAAATCCAGATTTTATACCTGTTAAAGTTAGAGTGATAGCTTCTTCTCTCTAGATTAGCCAGGAGAAGTGCTGTATAGTAAAAATTGTAGCCTATTTCAACCCTTTTTTTTCTGTTTTTCTAGTGTCTTCAGCTTTTAAAAATGAGTATCAAAACAACAAACCACCCATACCATAGTTATCTGAAGCAAATATTATATATTTGCTAGAGTTAATTGTTCACCTCGTTCTGAGCCAACCTCAAAATATGCACAGACACAGATGAATTTTCAGTTGCAGGTGCTTTATTCTTCTGAACCCTCTGGTCTTCAGCCATCATTTTCACCACTGGCACAAAGCAATATGCTCCTACTCGGAGGATGCTGCCAACTCGGCAGCATTTCACCCATTTCTGTCACCTCTGGGTCATTCTAATGAAATTGTCGTGAGTTATATGAAATAATGTGAGCCTGCATGGGTAGGTGGGCATCCCTGAGGTCCCAGCATACCCCCTGAACTCAGAGTTGGCACAGTAGAGTGAGACCATGACCTCCCAGGGAATATTTCTAAGGTAGCCAAGGGGATTGCTAGAAAGGAGGAAAAAAAATCTTCATGGTTTTCCAGGAGAGATCTGGAAACCACCAGGTTTTCACTCACTTCCTACCGAGATGACTTTGGCTGCAGTAACAAGTCACGTCCCAAAGGGTCACCTTGTGTTGGAGACTCAGGGTCTGCAGAGGTCTCCTGCAGACTGCGGTCTTTGCACCCTCTTCCTCACCATTGTGAACAGTGTTGCTGCCCAACAGCTCAGATTGGGAGAGGAAAAACTGTCAGACCTCTCCGAGTCAAGGAAATGCAGTTTTAGGAGAGGTGACCACTTATGTGGTGAGGCCAGGTGTACTGGCAGCCCAGCGGGGGGGTCATCTGTGCTTCAGGCCAGTCACAATAGGACAGTAGTAACCAGCAGAGCTCTTGAAGGAGACAGGCTGCTTTTCTGCAGGTCCAGGCTCCTCCTTTGGCCCAGCAGAGCCAAAGCAGCAGGAAATGGGCACCAGCTTCTGTGCAGAAGCTTGTGACAGATGTCTTGGAGATGCAGCCACTTCCCCGTGTCACTCACAGGGAGTCCGTCTTGGGGCCAAAAGGCAATATTAATATACTCCACAATTATTAATATAATCCACACAGAAAAAGCATTAGAGAGAATGGGTGAAATGCTGCATTAGGTTTTATTTCCATTGAAATGGCTGAACTCTGCTCTCCTAAAAAGTAAATATACGGAGGTACGTTTTTCTAGGAAAGCAAGACTAATAAAGGTTTATTTGAGGCGGCCTTGGCTTTAAAACACAGCTGAGTTTGCAGTGAGCTTTAAAGGTTTTGTGTAATCCAAGCATGTTGGCCTAAATCCTGTAAACTCAGGCCACACCTGAGTCTGCCCTCAACCCCAGCAGGTGAAAATGGAGCTTCCCTTGGCTGCAGCCCCATTTAGTGTGAGAGACACGTCAGGAAGCGGTAGGTGTCGGTCAGGCTCCCTTCTCAGTCAGCAGAGTGGGTGACTCATCTCCCCTCCACCTCTGATAACAAAAATCATTTTTGGCATGCCTCTCCCTGCTGAGAACAGCAGGTGCCTCCTCTCAGCTGTGGTTCCTGCCCAGGAAAGCTGGGCATTTGGCAGACATGGGCAGCATCAGGCTGGTCTCCCCTGGGAGCTCAGGTGTACAGGAGCTCTTGGGAAATGCTGGCTTCATGAGCCTGGAACCCAGTTCATAATTGTTAAGCAGAATTAGAATCATAGAATCATAGAATCGTCTAGGTTGGAAGAGACCCTTGGGATCATCATCTACCCTACTCTACAAAGTCCTCCCCTACACCATGTCCCTTAGCACTGCATCTAAACGGCCCTTAAACACAGCCAGGGATGGTGACTCCACCCCCTCCCTGGGCAGCCTGTTCCAATGCCCTATCACTCTTTCGGTGAAAAATTCTTTCCTAATGTTCAATCTAAACCTACCCTGTTGGAGCTTGAAGCCATTCCCTCTCGTTCTGTCACTAATTACCTGTGAGAAGAGACCAGCACCAACCTCTCTACAGTGTCCTTTCACGTAGTTGTAGAGAGTGATGAGGTCTCCCCTCAGCCTCCTCTTCCTCATACTAAACAGTCCCAAAACTTAAAGACACTGAAGCTGTGCCATGACCTCAGCAGACATCAAACTGGACTGCCTTGTCCTAGGAGTCTTTAGATCCCCTGTAGTCACCCCCTCTGTAGCCCAACCTCTACACACCTCTCTCTGAGCCTCCTCGTTCAGTTTGGCTACGTGTGATGCTGAGCACCAAATACCTTAGAAATACCTGGGGCTGACCAGCAGATGCATTTGAGCATTTAATGCCCAATTCCTAGATATTTGCCTTTTTCTGACTCTCTTCCCCCTTCCCAAAGCCTTCAGCACCCCCAAGGTCCAGGTGGAGAACAGCAGCAGCGGGGACACCTTGCAGTGCGAAGCGCCGCGCTGGTTCCCCCGACCCACCGTGCGCTGGACGGCCTACAGCGACGCCGGGGAGAACCTGCCTCACGTCGCCAACACCAGCTACGAGCTGAACGCTGAAAACATCACCCTGAGAGTGGTTTCCTTCCTGCACAACATCACCGCTAACGCCACCTACACCTGCGTGATTGAAAACAACATTGCCAAGGCTACAGGCAACATCAAAGTGACAGGTAGAGTTTAACATCACCCAAACACCGCAAGCTGGGGGTGAAAAAGAGTTTAAGCAGCGTGTCTGCGTGTGCTGGGGTGCTCCTGCAGCACCTCTGTCCGTTAAGGAAGGGACCGAAATTTGTGGTTAATCCAAGCCCCTCTCTCTGTCCCTGGGATGGAGGAAAAGGACTGTGTTTGGTCCTGCTATTTTAGATGGTTTTCACAGTAACAATTGCTCCCTCAGCACGGGGACAGAACTGCCAGGGAGTGGGAAGGAAGGACACACTTCAAAAGAATAAATTCTTTGAATGTTAACCAAAAACCAACCAACTAACCAAAAACCCCAACTTCTGACACTTTCTTTAGCCGGTTCAGCTTAGATCCCTTTAGCTGTTATAATGACAATCTCTCTGACTCCAGCCCACCCCCCTTTATTTAAAAAAACACCTTATTCACAGGAAAGCAGCCTGGAGAAGAGGAGGCTCTGGGGAGACCTAATAGCGGCCTTCTAGTACCTGAAGGGAGCCTACAGGAAGGCTGGGGAGAACCTGTTTAGAAAGGCCTGTAGTGACAGGACGAGGGACAATGGCTTCAAGCTGGAGGGGAACAGATTTAGATTGGAGATTAGACGGGGGTTCTTCACTGTGAGGGTGGTGGAGCACTGGAACAGGTTGCCCAGGGAGGTGGTTGAGGCCCCTTCCCTGGAGATATTCAAGGAGAGGCTCCATGAGGCCCTGGGCAACCTGGTCTAGTTGGGGGTGTCCCTGCTGACTGCGGGGAGGTCGGACTAGATGACCTTTGGAGGTCCCTTCCGGCCTGGGCAATTCTATGATTCTATGAAAGCAAACTTTCCAAAAAGCCTGCAAACCTTTTGTGTTCTATGTGCTAAGGATCATAGCTCTTCTACATCAAGGGCTTTGTAGCAGTGGGTCTCCAACACAAGATGCAGCGTCTATATCAATATTCAGTGAAACGGGGAGGATTAAATATACACACCTGTTTGCCTTCCCTGCTGCATTCCCCATTCTGGTAGCCTCTCTGTTCCTCTGCTACAGATTTCAGCATTACAAGGGGGACCAACTTGCAGCTGGTGAACCTGAACGCAGAGTCGGTGTCCTCCTCCCTTCCAGCCTGTCACTGGATGCTTCTGCTTCTCCTGTATGTGCTGTCGATATAAAGCCTCTATAGAGCAATCAGAAACACTGCTGGACCTGGAGGTAAGCTTGGAAGGGGAAACTCATAAGCATATATGCTAGATATATGTAGACCCTGAGGTTTTTTACAGCAGCTGACTTATTTCAAGCCTGCCAGAATGGGAGGATGCCATTCTTTGCCCTGTGTCTGTTCTTTCTCCATCACCAGCTTTAGGTGGGGCGCACGGCTTGTCCTTCCCGCAGGTGCCCTTCTGGCTTCTCCCATCACTTTCTGCAACTTTAGAGATTCTTCTCTTACACTGCTGTCCAGCAGCTCTTCCCCTCGTTCTCTTTTCCTTCCCTGCTAAACCCTCTCTGACCCAAAAGAGAAGCCTTGCTACAGGCTTGGCTACAGTTCATGGCTACGAGGCAGGGTGGACGTTTGCCTCTCCCACCCCATGATGCTGCAGCACAAGCCTCGCTCGCACCCGCTTCACTCAGACAACTCCACCACAGAGTGCAGCACCTTCAGTAAACAGTATCTGGTAGGAACACCTTGAGGAGGGCTAGAGGGAGCTGCCAGCCTGAGCAATCCCACCTAGACCTGGCACAAGGAGGGCTGCAGCCAGCCAAAGCACATGATGACTGCCTTTAGGATTCACCAGCTTTGGCTTTGGGTGGTGGCCTCTAGAGGCAAACTGGTGATGAAGTGGAGAGCTACAGAAAATTGGCTAAAAGGAACACCTCTGTCTTTTCAACGCAGAATGGTACTACAGCTACCCTGACGGCAGGACACACCTCATGCTTTCCTCCCTCGTGGGCTGAGAACTTTATGAGTTTCCAGTTTCAGAGCCCGTAGTGGCACAAAGACGAAGGTAGCTGATCTCTCTCTTGCCTTGTTATTTCTCACCCATGCCAACAACAGGATCCTTTGTTTGGCTTCAGAAAGAGAGCGAGGAATGCGATAAGGAGATTTGCGTAAATAAAGGAAAAACTCTGATCACAGGAACGAGGTGTGTTTTCTTGTTGAAGCAACCCAGTGACCAGAACTCTGATCATGGGCAGAAGAAGCTCAGAGACAAACAGGAAAAGGGTTTCCTGCAATACATCTGAGAACTGGGCCTTCAAACTTGGGAGTAATAAAAGCAAGCAAATCTTAATTCCCCCTAAACATATTTGAGTTGTCCGTCTCACGCCTTGGGATTCTCGGAATGTACTAATAAAACTGTAAAGGAGAGAGTCAGTTAATCTAGGCAGTCTTCTCAGAAGACTACAATCTAAGTCCCCTTTTGAAAAAAGACACTGTGAATGGCAAAACGGCAATGGGTTAGAGAATAGCTAACAAACAGGCTTGGAACAAGCGTTAGGTCTTCAACGTGGCAGAGGCAAACAGTGTGTCTGCAGTCCTATATGAGGACCCACGATTGCATTTGGGATGTGGAATAACAGAGGAACAGTGTGGCAGCAGGCAGAAGACTAACATACTCTAAGCAAAGAGTGGGACTAGTAAGATACTACTGAACAGTTCAAATTCAGAAGTAAACACAGTTATTAAACATAGATATAACTATAGAGGCAAAATGGCCTTTTTTGCTTTTAAGCAAGTCTCTGTTACCTGGCACTTCTAGCTATTTCTGTGGCACCATCTGTTACTATGTTATTCATATTACAGGACTACTTTCAGTTGCACTTTTTAATCAGATTTCGATCTCTTCATCTTACATCACTTACAGGCAACATTTTCCTCAGGCTGATAGTTTATTTCGGGGGTTTTTTGGTGTGTTTTGTTTTCTTTGGGAAGGGTGGGGAGTAATCTTAAGCAAAATCTTTACCATTTTCCAGAAAACATCTACCAAAAAGAGTGCCACAGCAAAACTTGCGTTGACCTTTGCTTTTAACTGTTTCAGCAACCTCTTTTAGGATGAAATTTTTTGAATGGTGGCGTCTGTTAGGTCTCGTGCAACTTACCCTTTGGTCTTAGAAGTGGCCAGCAGGCCTTGAGAGGGAAGATATTTTATACACGCTCAATAAACCCACCCCCTGAAGTTTAATATAAAGCTCAAACTAAGTGGGAAGGGCAGGGGGGAAACACTGAAGAAACCAGCCCCAAAACAGAGTAGCTGTTCAAACATGCTGTCAGCCTTCCTCTTGTTATCAGCCCCACATTAATGTTTGGGCCACTGTTTAGGCTGAAAAACAATGTCTCTGATTTAGTACCATGATTTAGTACCCAAACAGTAACTTACTCACTTCCTTTCCCTTCTTGGAGGAATGAAATGCTTTAAAAACAGCATTTTAATAATTTCAATTGGATTAAGAAGAACTATCCCTTGTGGCAACTGTACAATTTTGCATGAAGACAGTGAATGATCTGCAAAATGCCTGGCTCTGGCTCATAAACCAAGGATCTAGTCCAGAGGAGGGCCACAAGGATGATCAGGGGGTTGGAGCACCTCTGCTCCGAGGACAGGCTGAGGGAGCTGGGGTTGTTCAGCCTGGAGAAGAGGACGCTCCAGGGAGACCTAATAGGGGCCTTCCAGTACCTGAAGGGGGCCTACAGGAAGGCTGGGGAGAACCTGTTTACAAAGGCCTGTAGTGACAGGACGAGGGGAAATGGCTTTAAGCTGGAGGGGAACAGATTTAGACTGGAGATTAGGAGAGGGTTCTTCACTGTGAGGGTGGTGGAGCACTGGAACAGGTTGCCCAGGGAGGTGGTTGAGGCCCCTTCCCTGGAGATATTCAAGGAGAGGCTCGACGAGGCCCTGGGCAACCTGGTCTAGTTGGGGGTGTCCCTGCTGACTGCGGGGAGGTCGGACTAGATGACCTTTGGAGGTCCCTTCTGGCCTGGATGATTCTATGATCTACGTTGTGCCTCATTCCCCCTATAGCAAGCAAACCCTAGAGCAGATACGGTATTATTTAAACTGTATTTTAATAGCTTTATTTAGTAGATACTACCACATAAAATACACACATTGTGTGCCCTAGGCCCAAAGTATTGAACATCTCTCTTCCCAAACGTTGTCCAGCAGCACTGGTGGCAATGGTCCAGAATGACCATTCAGAAATTCCACGTCACAGCAGCTTCTTGATTGCACCCTTCACCCTGTGCTCACAGGCCCGTGCTCCCACTGGAAAGTGGATTAAAAAACCAAACCCTCCCGATCCCAGTGGGTATTTCCATAGTTCCTCTCCCCTTGGAAGAGATGTCAAGCAGTGGCTCCCACTCAGCAGTGACTAGATGTCCTCTTAATCCTCTCGCTGTTCAGATAGCTTAAGGCACCTTGTTCCACTTCTTCCACATTCAGGCACAGCAGGCTCAGCCGAGGCCCCACTTGCGACACAAACTCCACTTCACCGCATCGAAAATTTCTCAGCTGCAGAGGAGCTGAAGGGGAAAGACACAACCCGTAACAACTCGGTACAGGGCTCCTGCTCCCTTCTAGCACGCAGCTGTAGAAGTTGCTGGGGGAGGAAAGGCCTTGCAGCAGCTGCTTGGCATCTGCTAAACCTCAAAGGACAGCACGGTTAATGAATCCAGGATGTAAAAGCAGATGAATGCATTTGGCCAGCATCCCCCCAGCATGGCGGAAACAGACATTTTACACTCTGAAACACTGTGGACTACACACTGCTCACAGAGCTGATGCACTGAGCTTTGTATTTTTTATCACTATTGGCAACCTGGCCTTACAGAGCGTTACACGACCTGATGGAGAGGGTCCAGAGGAGGGCCACAAGGATGATCAGGGGGTTGGAGCACCTCTGCTATGAGGACAGGCTGAGGGAGCTGGGGTTGTTCAGCCTGAAGAAGAGGAGGCTTCGGGGAGACCTAATAGCAGCCTTCCAGTACCTGAAGGGGGCCTACAGGAAGGCTGGGGAGAGCCTGTTTACAAAGGCCTGTAGTGACAGGACGAGGGGAAATGGCTTTAAGCTGGAGGGGAACAGATTTAGACTGGAGATTAGGAGAGGGTTCTTCACTGTGAGGGTGGTGGAGCACTGGAACAGGTTGCCCAGGGAGGTGGTTGAGGCCCCTTCCCTGGAGATATTCAAGGAGAGGCTCGACGTGGCCCTGGGCAACCTGGTCTAGTTGGGGGTGTCCCTGCTGACTGCGGGAGGTCGGACTAGATGACCTTTGGAGGTCCCTTCCGGCCTGGGCAATTCTATGTTTCTATGATAGCCAAAGGATGATGTCTCCACAGCAGAGGATCCTCTGGTGAGCTTAGCAAATCAACCCGTGCAGCACCTGGACTCATACTCAAACGCTAGTGTTAGTGCAAGCAGCTGAGAAGAATGTCCCCTGAACTCAGCAGCTGCGCAGCTGTGGCAGCATGAGCTCAGACACCAGCACCCACGAATTCAAAACTCTTCAAAGCTTGAAACTCTGTGGCCGTGGTGAGGAGTTTCAGGCCTAGTCTGGACTCTACCTGCTGTCCTGTCTAAAGTCAAAACCCACTTGATTTCAGAGGTCTGCACAGTAACTCTGGCTGGCCAGAACCCCGTCCCATCCAAGGACAGGGAACCTTGCTCTAAAACAGAGGAAGTGTTGTGTGTAAGAGGCACCCCACAGAAATAAACCTGTTCTCTCCCACCACCACTACCACACACATACAAGCCCCACCTCCTGCCTTGCTGACACCTCAGAACAATTACTGTCCTGGTTGTTTAACTGATCTGTTTTCCTGGAACTGTACATAAAATGCGAATGGAGAAGCTCCAACTGTTTCATCATAACCACAAGGACAATTCAATACTATTTTTATGCTCTGTATAAAGTAGAAAAATGAACGTATCATGTTGTTGTATATAGCGAATTCTATAGTATTATTTCTGTATTTTTGTAACCATGGTTCTGTTCAGACATGTCTCAGCTCTACACTACAGAATTCACAATTTCCTGGAAATCCTCCAAAGATCTTGCTTTGTGGGCAGTGAAAGCTTTCCTTCCCCAGCCTGGTGAGACGACTCCTCCCTTCCTTCCCACACGAAATATTACAAAAGCCAACAGTTCTTGCTTACCAGGCTGCAGGATCTTGGAGGGCTTCCTGTCTAGGCTGAAATCCAGCAGGATAGGGCGACAGATGAGAGGACTTCTGCACAGGCTCCTTAGGTAGCAAGCAACGAAATCTTCAGGTTCCTCTACACACTGAGGAAGGAAGGAGTGTCTTGCCAGTCAATGTGCAGAGGGAGGCAGGGAGCCACTGGAACCCCCACAGCAAAGGGAAATCCAGTCCAGCTGAGGCTTGAGCCCAGCACGCTGCCCACCTACCCCTGTGCCAGTAGCTTCCCCGTGCTGAATGGACACTCTGCCCCTGTTCTGCACGCAGTTCTGCAGAGCTTCCCACTCGAGAAGGTTCAGGCCCAGCATTGCTGCCACGTGCTGGTTCCTGCACAGCACAAAAGCTTCACCCGTTCCATCTTCCACCAGCACCCTATGGAGAGAGCAGGCAGACTAAGATGCGGAGGGAGGTCAGGACAACACCTGCCTCCCTCAACAAGGGTCATGTCCCAGACAACAGGTCTCAGTAGAGAGAGAAGGAGGTCTGTTTACATCTGGGAAGACATGACAATTCTAGCTTTTGTCCTTGCTATTCTGTCCACATCCCATCCTTGATCTCATTTTCCCCTCCCCTCTGTGGTGGTGTAATTTGTTCCCTCCTACCCACCTCTTTCCATACCCAACCTCTACAGCGCTTACCGTGCACTGGCTTGCCTCACTCCCGTGTGTGATGGACATGGTGGGCTGGGTCGGGTGCACCTCCCCTGAAGGAAGAGTAAAGCTACAGCTATGTACTGGTGGGCACAGGAGAGAGAGAGGGAGGGGGTGCTAACCCTCCCCTAATTAAGTATGCAAAGGATTCAAGAACTTCATTGCATTTCCAGCGAGCGTCTTGGGAAAACTTTGTGGGGAAAAATGATCTGCTGGAGGGTGCTGAACCCCAACAGCAGTGCACATGGGCAAAGCAGAGCATTAAAGGAGTAGGATTCTCCCCCTGCATG